ATATACCCAAGTGAATTAGCGACGGGCTAAATGTCGAATTTTTTTTTTCTAGTCATGTCGACTCGACTTGTCTAGTCTTTATCTCAAAAAGTCCTCGACCAGGACTAGTCTGAAGTCAGCTGCGGCGTTGAACTCTGTCCCGCTTCAGTCATTTTAGGGCGACATCATATATTTTTAGTCTAGTCTTTTTCTATAGAAAGACTCGTCCAGAACTACGTTAGGCTCGCTTAGATATCAAATTATTATCTATAATGCAGAATAGTTCTGGACGAAGACTTTTTGAGACAAAGACTCGACAGGTTGAATCGACATGATGTTCGTGTCAGATTTCAGACTTTATCGTTAAAAACTAAAATGGTCAAGTTTTTTGACATCTTGATATATATCAAGTACGTATTTCTATCCTTATGACCACTGGATCTCTTAATCCTAGGCAAAGTTGTTTAGTAATTCATTACTCATGTTCATATTGCCTACATGTAATGTCTTGATTAAACTAACGTGCCAAATACAGTTATTTCATTTAGCTTTTTCGAAATTATTATTAATCAGTTATTGAAATAGGCAGGTGTTTCTTATCATCTAAATCATTATTCAGTTTCAAAAATTCCACCCGCTGCCATATCAGTAAAGACTCAAAGCCACCACCGCCATGAGCATACAAAAATTCAAGTTTTTATATCCGCCGCCGACGATTTAAAAAAATTAAAAAATTTCCACTACCGCCACAGATCAAAACATGTTGGCTTACATCTCTGAATACATTTAATAAGTATTAATAATTTTTGTAATGGTAACATTGTACAACGTTCTTGATTATGAACCATGAAAGTAAAGATGTGTTTTCATATGATGCCATAGGATAAGCTTATGATATTCATAACTCATACTTACAACGGAAGATGTAGGTATACATTTTTCTATCGCTATTCGGCAAATCTTGTCGTTCATCAAAATATTACATAAGTATTTATTTTTATTTTCGAGTATAACTGTTTAGTTAATTTATTTAACATGGTAATTGCAACACCTTTGTGATATAATGTTTGAGTATAAGATTCCCAGAGATCTGAATCTTAAAGCTGGAAAAAATTTGTAAAGTGCCTATTTTAATACATACATCTATAATGCTGATCGACTTTTAATAAAACATACTTAACGAAGTGATATTTATTCTATGATCTTGCTCTCATTCTAAATATGTATGATTATCCACCATTTACCTATTATCAACAAATGATATAAATATTGAAAAGTTTTTTCTTGCATTACGTTTTTCTTCTTTTCGTTATTGGTCAATCGAACCAATTGGTTGAACAATTTAGTAAGAGAAGAATGAGTTGTCAAAACATTTCATAACCCTCTGAATTAGTAATGACAATACATTCTAAAACCTAAATTAATCATAACAAGTGCAGAAGACACTTCAGACTAGTTCTGACTTCCTCTGAAGACGTGTCAGACTAGTAAAGTCATATGTCTTTTACCACTTTTAATTGTCTAGCAAATGGATGCGTGTCTTTCTGCTATTTGGACTGTTTCAACTAACATCAGTCCATCGTTATGTCATGGTCTGCCGTCAGGTATTGAATATTGTCAAGTTGGACGGTCGAATCCACCTTTTGTCTTCGTTTTCTGTACTATGGACTAGTCTGGATGGGGGTAGATAGACAAACGCACTAGATATAATGGAGTTCAAAGGGCGTTTTGGACTAGTTCAGACATGTTTGCAGAACATTTCTTGTCAAGATAACTACTCATGACGGGTATGGAAGACATTTTAAGCCAGTCATGTTGGCCGTTTTCACTTACTTTTTGCTTATTTGGGATCCCATGTCTATACGACACACTAGTGACACATGTGTCGACACATTATATGACACATGTAACTTCAGTCACGCTTTGATACATGTGTCACCAGTGTGTCATAGTGTGTCGACACATGTGCGTAACGTGTGTCACGATGTGTCGACACATTCATATCCACAGTGTCGCCGTGTGTCTGTGTCGCTTTTTAAAATTATTCTATTGGCTTATCTTTCGTCACTAGCAGCTATTATTATATTAATAGATATATTAATATTTAATTTTTTTTTAGCAGCATTTGCTGCACAATACCTTTATTTCAATAAAAAAAATGTGTATTTAACAAAAAAATATACATAAAAAAATACACATAAAAAAATGCATAAAAAAATATAAATAAAAAAAAATAAAATGTACATTAAAAAAATAAAATATACATAAAAAAATACAAAAAAAATAAAATGTACATTAAAAAAAAATAAAATGCACATTAAAAAAATATACATTAAAAAATATAAATAATAAAATACAATGTACATAAAA